TTGAGATTATCTATTTTGAAGCCCTTTAAGTTGTAGGCCCTTCTTGTAATTTAGTCTCCAAGCATCTCTAACATGATCCCTGGCAACCGGTTGTTCAATGTGAACCCAGATTTTAAAATTAAATTAAATTAAAAAGGAAAAAAAAGGCCTGCAACTTGTTTGAATATACAACCTTTTTAATTCAATAAAAGTTTTAGTTTTAGTCCTGCTTTATGCTATCTGAAAGATATATTTTGTGAATGTTTATTTATGTTTTGAAAATGTCCATGCTATGATACTGCTTTATTAAAGTAAGATGTATCACCAGAGTATGTAGATTAACCATAACATATCACATCTATTGAGTGAGAAGGTAAATTCAAGAAATCACTGCTCTTACATCCACACAATGTCAGTGGGAATCTCCAGTTTCTAAAAGTCTGTGGTAAAATGTGCTGGTGTCCAAACACTGCTAAATTAAAGCTTTAATTATATTTTAAGCTTTCATCAAAATCTACATGAACCCTGAAATAAAATATCCACATGCTAAACCAGAGGAACATCTTAAAAAACATAAGAATAGCTCCGGAGTACAGGAGTTTCCCGGCCATCCTCGGATGTATTATATCTATGTTACCTTTAATAGGATTTTTTTTTTTTTTTTTTTTATCACCAGAGTAGCTTGTTTTGCTACATCTACAATGAAATCAACGTGCTAGAAGACAAAATCTAATCAAGTTACTTTAGAATTAAGAGTGACACTTGGCACAGTTTGGCTTAAGAAGCTTTTTACATGATTGCAAGAAAAAAAGGAGTAGGGAGGGTTGTCAGGATGATAAATGAGAAGAAACACTGTGGTTTCCTGAAAAACACACTTCATTCAATTTTAAAGGGGCCTCAGGCGATAACGGATGAATGGAGGTGCTTGCAGGTGAGACTGCAAGACTAACTGAATATTTCTGTAAAAGAAGCGACTGAAACTGCTTAAAACATTGCTGTATTTATTTTTTCAATGCAGAATTGTCCTGGGTCTGGTGGTTTTGTTGCAAAAATGTTCTAAACAAAAGATTGCTTTAGGCATAGCTAACACTTTAAAGGCAGGCAATTGCTGCAATAAGCCACAAGGTGGGGAAGATGTGCACATTTCAAAGAGGATATAAAAAACTAAAAATAATACAAAAACAATTAAATATATGATGTGGACGGTGATAATATCACTACTAGTCCATCATGCAACTCAATATCATGCAAATAACAGTTCTCTATTAATATGTTAAAAATATTAACTTAATGTACTATATAAAACAACTGAGGTTGATTTGAAGTTATTCTTTTTCCTTTAATTACCTTTTGAGGTTTTATATTTAGCAGTGACCAGAATATTAACTCATGTGTGGGGTTCTGTGGACATAGTGATGACTTTAGAATGAATCCCTGGTGGGTTCTGTCCCATTACCTCACGGTTGGCCTGATTCTCAGTATGGCTTCATTAGCAATGTCTTTGTACTTATCACTACATCCTCTAAAAAAAAAAAAAATCTGAAATACAAACAAAAATGATTAGAATTACCATCTTGATTCATTATGAAAAATTTAGCCAGGACATAGGTTATCGTCCGCTTAGTCCCTTCTGAAGTCGCAACTAGGGTTCCCTTGGCTAATTGCCCTACAGGGAAACAGATGGGACCATCACAGCTCCAGCAGTGCAGCTGTAAATAAAGAGAGGCTTTTTCTGAATGCTGAAATGGGAATTAACTGAGCCTGCAGGAAGCTGGAGTGACCATGATGGATCACTTTACTGTAGCTTCTAGAGAACTTGTTATTTAATTCATGTTGGCTTCTCCTGGTAAATAATAATGAGGTTTTTGAAATATACACTTTTAGCTGGTAACAAAATGTGCAGTGCTGAAGGGCTCATTCATTTATCATATATAGCCAATGGGAAGGTCCTGCTATGCTGTTTTAGAGGTGATCTGGAATCAGCACCATGGCTAGTTACACCTAAGGTATCCTTCCTAAGATCAGCACCATGGCCAGCGACAATTCTCAGTTTTAAACATGATGCAACAGCACCGCCCAGTGCTACAGTTTGGGAATAGCATCTGAGTTTCATGATCGTGTATAATATACTTTATGTTTGATTAAAAAGCAAGAAGCTTTCTCTCATTATTAGTTCAAAAATGTATCATATTAGTAAAATTTTAAAATGACTGACAGCAAAATTCTTTGCTTTAACAAATTCCTACATATATATATATATATATATATATATATATGCAATGTATTGTGCACATTTGTCCAGGTTGAAAAAATATCCTTTGCTTAAATTCATATTTATCCGTTTATACTGTTCACGTTTTGTTTCTCAGCAGGAACATTTAAAACTTCCGTCTTTAAAGTGCATTTATTCTTTTTTGGTTGAAACCGAAGGTGGTGTGTTTCGACCTTCCTAAGAAAGGCTTTTCGATTTTCCTTGGTCCGAGCTGTAATTGGATTTCAATTAGGATTAACATGCTTAGCCAGCAAACAGCATGCAACAAGTACAGCCCTGTTTCAGATTGCAAGGAATCCTTATAGGAATGGAAAATATAAAATCAGTTTATATGGTTTATTGCTTGGAAAAGGGCGCAGAGCGATAGTAAACGTCGTCTTCCGGCCCCGTAGCGGCTCTATTTATCCTCTCCGCGTCGTAGCAGAGAGACAGAGCTGACAATCAGCGGCTTCCTACTGGCTCTGCTGCGCATGCGCGCTTCTGCCGGTTTGCTGCGGCTCTTTGCTTGATGCCTAAAAGCTGCGTTAAGCTGAAAAAAGCAGCAGCCTCTCCTTTCCAGGAATGTCCAAATTAAAACAAATAGCTACAACTGTACTTTCTTCGTTTACCAGCTTCCTGCAGGCGATTTATATATGTTTTGTAACACATTTTACTGACTAAATTCATAAAGTTAAGTATTATGCTATTTATGCATTTATATAAAACATCCATTTTAATCTGAGAAATAAAAAACTAATATCAGCTAAATGGACTGAATGGATTACCTTTTAAAATGATACTAACGTTAGAATAAAACCATATTGCCTGTTAACTAGCTTAGAATTTAATTTCTTTTTTTGTATTTATCCATGGACGAAAGAAGCTTTAATATAGAGATTTTTTGAGTGGTTTCTGTCAAGGTTAGGTTGAGGTTGTGAGGACCCAAATGCAGGAGCATGGAGGCAGAGGTGATTTTGTTGAAGATTTAATTGAATGATCACAAACATCTGAGGCAGGAATCCAAAAATCCAACATAAAAATGTAAAACAAACCAGAACCATGGAGACATCAGGGAAAACAAGCATGAGGAACTACGGAATGAGCAGGAACCAGCACTGAGGAACTGCACAGGGAGAGTATTTATCGCTGACTGAACAAAGACAGGTCTAACGAGCCGATAGGTAGAAATAAACTACAAAGACACAGAACACAAATAAACTTAAAAATAAACCCAAGCAGAGGGCAGAACCCTGACAGTGTCATTTAAAAATTATCAAATAAGACATTAAATTAGGTGATGAAAATACAGATATCAGATGTTTTGGAAATACAAGAAATAAATAAAAGCTTGTTTTATATTCTTTATATTAGATGTATGTTGTCCTCCTTTAGATGTTGTCAGACCCAATTTATTGTGATACCAGTAAATAAAACTCTTGTTCACAGACTCAATCCATTGTTACATATCCTGAGCAAAAATGTCTAGCCGTACAAATCAGGTCAAGATATACTTCAACTTTTACCTACAGTTGAAATTACTAAAAATAGGATTTAAAACAGAGGCATGTTCTATTTATGAGTAAATAACAAGGAAGAGAGATGTCCATTGATTTAGAAAATTATAGTTCTAAATTGTAGTAACTGTTTCACAAACAGTACATGTTACTCAAACTAACATGGTAATTTTTTATTCCAAATTATACAAATACAAAAAAAAAAAACTTTAAAAAGTCTTCTTGAATAATCGTTTAACTGCCCATCCATATAAAATTGTCTATGCAAAGTCACTTGGGGGCTGGTGCCCATCTGCAGTTGGCACTGGGTAAAAGACATTGTATACCCTATAGGTCAGCTGTTCCAAATGGAGACAAACAAATTACCAAGAGGGAACTCATACGTGCATGAAAACAGGCAGGGATTCAAACTTAGGATCTTCCTGTTACCAGAGCTACAGAGTTACAGATTAGATAATCAAGTTCATTAACGCATGTGAAGCTGCCGTACAAGACAGAGTCGTATTCATGAGAGGCTGTCTTAACAGAGCTAACAATAGTTTTGTTGTTGTTATTATTCAGTCTGAACAGACTGCTACCTTTCAGCCTCTTCAAAATGTAATAACTTCCATCCAAGTCACATAATTTAATAAAATAAATTTATGGTTTTTTTTTGGTTCTAGAGATTTAAAAAAGGGGGGGAGGGGGAATTCAGTATGGATTATTTTTGCAAAACACTGCATATTTAGAGCACTTTGATTCTGAAACGAAAAGAAAACATTACCCATACAGTGAAAAAAAAAATGCAACTGCTTTTGGCATTTACTTAATCATATTTACTTATTTTAACACCATTGTTTTACGTCCTACCCTGCTGACATGAAACAATTGTGTTAAAGTAACTAAATATGGTTAAGTAAATGCCAAAGACGGTTGAGCAAAATTAGTTTTATTAAAAAAAAATATTATTATATAGCTCTCAATCAAGGGGGAAAAAACTGTAATTTGGGAATAGATGTAAGTGTATTGCATACCCTACTTTATTTTATAAAAAAATATTGTTTCCTCATTATTTGCTTGTGCAAAGAGGGTGTAGGCTATTTTATTCCAAAATCTGTCAATAAAATATTAATTTAAGGTCTAAAACGAGAAAGATCAAAGAAACTGCAAATGGTTTTCTTTGAAGGGCTTTTATTTTGAAGTTTTCACGGGATCTTCATCTCTGTTAATCAGTCTGGCTTGATCTTCTTTAGGTCGACAGACGCTGCCTTGGAAACGACATAAATCCAGTGCACGCAGCTGGCTCTTTAGCAGGGACCTACATCCCCCCCACACTTCAAAGGCTTCCGCCCCTCTGGTACCCTCCTCTTCCTCCTCCACCTCTTCTCCATCCATTCCTCCGTTCATCTCCCGATCTCTGCGAGCATGGATGATCCGAAATGAAGGCGAGGAGGCGCAGCAAGAGAGCATCGAAATAACCGAGACAGGAGGAGACGGGAGGTGCCGCAGCCAGGTAAATGTGAGCAGATTTCCAATCAGCTTTGGAAGCCACGGCCGTGGGGAAGGAGCCGTGTCGATGCGGGGGCACGTCGCCACGGAGGAGGAGGGAGGGAGGGAGAGAGGATGCATTTGTTTTTGTTATTGTTGCAAGAAGAGGAAACAATGCGTGCGCCCCTTATTACTCAGCCTCAGAGGTGATAGATTTATACGCACGCGGATTGATCTTAATATTTAAAATTGTGTTAAAAGGGTTTTATCAAAGCACGCGCTCCTTTCACACCATTTTATTCCGCCCTGCGTGGCGGAGGCGCGCTGGTCAGGTGCTTTTCTAACAAAATGTCACCAGTTGGAGGAAAATGTGCTTGCAGAATTTAACAGAAAATAATAAGAAAGAGCTGGAATAAAAAATAAAAAAAATTAGAGTTTATAGAAGAGGAGGTGTGTGGACAGGATCCTCTGGAATAGCAGTGGATTTGGTATCTTCTGTATGGAAGACAGTGTTTGATCATAAGGTGCTTTTAAATGGACGGTATAATCTTTTATAGAATATTTTGTGGTATTATAGATTTAAAACATGTCCCAAGTTTTATAGAAAAAAAATATTATTGATGTTGCAGCTGCTTCTGCTGCTTGCCAGATGTCTTCATGCCTTAAAGCCTCCTGGGTCTAAGCAACTTCACGTGTTTTTGTGTAATATCAAAGATGTATATTGAATAACACAAATTTTTTTGCAGTTCACATTGATAAAAGCCATCCAGATGATATTTTTGCTGCTATTTACTACAAGAGAAACTGCATAGAATATGTGCACCATTAATGTCTGACAAACTAACTGATTTTTTAAATGGAGATCATATTCAATTCAATAATACTTTATTAATCCTAAAGGGAAATTAAATGTCGCAGTAACTCATAGTTTATTTTTTTGTTTGTTTGGGTTTTTTTGGTGTTGTAGATGTTGATAGCTGTAGGCAGGAAGGATTTAGCTTTGGATCAATTCAGACACTTTCTAAAGCTGTCAATTAGCCTCTGGTATAATGTTGTGTGGATATTTGGCTCTAAAGGTTATTTAAATTATTTGATTTGTGTGTACGGATTCAGCATTTGAGGATGGCTCAGTTCTATGGTGTTTAAGTTGTTTTAAAAAAACAAACATTTGTCTTAATAATGGTTCATAACCAGTTATTGTGTGTGTTTGGGAGCATGGTCCTGTTTTGAAAGCCAGGGGTGTCCCGATACAACTTCTTCATTTCCGATACAATACCAATGTTACAGCTTAAGATGATGACC